TTTTAGTTTAATAACCTGTTACACTTTACACAATTTACTAATGTTTACAGCTAAAGTTAACCTATGTTACAGTTATTAATTAACAGCAAACTGTTTGTACTGTGGATAATTGAAAGAACTGCAGACAATAATTATAAGTTGTAATTGATTTTTTACAATACCATTTTACTCTTTAACATGTTATGCAAAATACTCTTCTAATGTAGGTGGATTTAAATTAAAAAAGGTTGAAGTTTGATTGCCATAGAGACATGTCAGTGCATTTCTCAAAATTGCACTGACAAAATAGATTTTTCCAACACAGCTAAGGTACAACTTAAGATTCTTTTTAAAGTCGACAAACTTGAAATAAGTACTGATGTCACCAAATAACCATTCCACTGAAATTCTTACTCTGCTCATAGCAGCATTGAAGTTCTTCATTTCAGGTGTAAGGACTGCATTTGTAAAAGGCCTTTGAAGCTGTATTCTTAAAGGGTATGCTGGATCGCCGTACACACAGAAAGGCTCGCCCATTGGAGAGATTGCTCGTCTTTCTAAATCCTGAAGGAGGCGTGAATCAGCCAGCATACTAGCATCATGCCTTTTGCCCTCTTAAAAACAAAGTACAATTTTAATATACATCAAAATTTAAATGATATAAGGTATGCAACATGAATTGATTGCCTTGTTTTATGATGCGACACTACAAAAATCTATGAAGGCTCTGGCTATTGTCAGTTTAACCATGTCAGGCAGATTATTATTATATAGTTACATTTAGTTTTATTAATGGTCTTTCATTTAAAGAAAATCATTGCATTTCTATTTTCTAGTAGAAGTTAAGTTTTATATTTATGGAAATCCCCATGAATAATATTTTTTTTGAAATGATGCAATGAAACTGACAAGGGGTGTTTCTTGAGTCTGTATAGGATATAATGGGTTAAGATACAATAATTTGTTCCCCCATTGTTCTGGAACAGTTGTACATCAGAAAAACCTCAGAAATTCTAGGAAAGTTTCCAACTAAATCCTGAAATACCTACAGTATGATAACACTGCATGATCAAGCATGAAATTTTGCAATCTTAACCAGTAATAGTTAGTAGTTACATTTGATACTTACCTACTGGACCATATAGATTTGCAATAATACCATTAGGCCGGTAAAGCCAAAGATTGGAATTTAATCGCATGTACTCTTTTGTGGCCGTTGTATACTCCCCTTTGGTTCTTAATTGGTCGACATATTCTTACCAACGTGCCATCAATAAATCCAAAACATTCATTAAGTGGTGCCCCTTTAGCTGAAATGGCATTAGCATACTCTTGCAGTTTCTGTGGGTTCATGATAACATCATTCCAAGCAGTGATTCGATGACCATGGTGAGCGTATATAAAATCAATCACAGTATTGGTTATCATGCTTATCACAGGAACAGGTCTACCAAAGCGTGAAATCATATCACCATACCGGCACGGGTACGAAAGCCTTCTGAGCAACATGCAAAGCCCTGTCAAACCATCACATATTGAACGTTGCTCACATACAAAACGTTCTGGGATTTGAAGGTGAGCTGCAAGGACTGGAATATCTTCTTTGCGAAACCGAAACTCTGCCAGACATTCATCTTCATCCATTTCGTTAAGGTTGAAATCTGGGTAAAATTCGTATGGAAAATCTGGATTTTTTGATTCGTATAAAGACAAAAAGAACAATAATTCTTCATCATCAATTATACCTTCATCGTGGCTAATCAAAAATAAATTCCGTAATTCTTTAAAAGATGACATCGGTTTTGTTGTATATTAAAACTGGGAAATTCTTGACGTTGTCGTGTTGTTCTTGCTTAAGCTTAAAATTTCGCGCTGAAAACGGGGTTCTAGTTCCAGTCCTTTTCAACTTTTAACATTAAGACTCGTCGTCGTCGTCCACAAAAATCATATTTGCTTAAGGTCCCTAATATAGAAAAAAAACGAGAATCGAAAGAAAAGTTTTATTAGGGCTTCATTCTGAGCACACAAAATGGGGTTGATTGGCTTATTCTATTGTTTCATTGTTCTATTTTATTGTTTTCTATAATTTACGATGAAACTTTTTTTCTCGCCACATTTAAGCGATAGCAACAACCATAAAGAGTCGCATCTTTATTTCTAATTTCATATGTGCATATTTTCATGTTATTTGTATTTTCAAACTGTGCTCTTTCTATAGGAGTGCCTTGGGTCGAAAGCAAGTACATTCGCGTACATAGGGAAAAAACTGCCTTTCGATGAAGATGGTATTTGGCCCATCGTGAACAATCCGATGATGTCGATGTACAAGGAGGGCAGCCGAGTCGAAATTTTGGCAAAGTTATTTAGAAAGTCATATTGGAGATTGTTGAAGTTATTGCAAAATGTTTTTGATGGATAAACCTACTTGTTTGGGGATTCTGTAGCAAAAATGAAAGACCTGCTTATCCATGGCAACAGTTTGGTTCAGATGCCGATTGAAGAAAACGGAGATCCCGAAGTGGGTCCGAATGCAGGACCAATCTACCCAACCAAAGAACCTTGAAAGTCGGATGAAAAGAATCAGAAAGACGACGGCAGTGTTACTGCATTATATTACTTTATTACTTTAAGTTATAGTTACAAATTTTCAGACTCTTTTAGCTCAACATATATCAGATATGAACGTTAAAAACTGGTTGATTTATTGTTTGTAGCCAATTTTTTATTGTGAGTTTCATAAATGTAACGTATTGAAAACTCCCTAGTTAATGATGCAGTTACCGTCAACTTAATTCATGTTGAAAATCCAAACGAGGGTACAAAATGGTCTGAAATTAATTCGAAAAGCGATCGGTGATTCGTATTCAGACCAAAGATGAAATCTATTTAGCTCGAGCTTCGATTGTTTCGATTGCAAAACATGAAAACGATTGTAGAGATCGACCAATACGAAATTCTGACAGACCGTTCCAAGCACAATTGGCATATGAGTTGCACGAAAAGGCCGATGTTTCGCTAGAGTTGGGTGGTTTGGAGGAAGTGAACCAATTTCAGATGTTTTTTCACAATAATCATTACGATTTAATTACAAGTATACCGGCTTTTTTCTTGCAAAAAAAATATTGTCTCGCACGTAAAAAAGGGCACAAAATACGATAGAAATTTCGATAATCGTTGTCCTGGAGCATGTGGATTATCTTATTCTCAAACTTGTCTGTTTGTTTCGTGGTTCCCTTCTTCTGGTTGTGTGCGTTTTTGGAACTTCTTGCGGCTAACCACTGTTATAGTTGAAAAACTTTCAGGATGTGTGTCATGCCATCTTAGGTAATCGTCGGATATACGAAATATCACGAACGGTGCGTCGGACACTACTTCCGGAAAAATTTTGTTGTTGAAAAATTGTTTTGCCAAGATGAAAAAACACTACTGATTATGCTAGTGACTAAGACTGTTAAATGACATGGACGGAAATCCAGGCCTTAGGAATATAAATGATATAGATGATTCCGCCTGTACGGTACATGCTAATCAGGATAATGATTTAATATTTTATATGAATGCTGGTAAATAGTGTATAGCTATGTTATTGTAGCTATGTCATTGTAAGCCAGGTTTCGACAGAATTCCAAATAGACTTATCAAACTAGCAGGAGAAATCATACATGACTCTGCTACACATTTTTAATCTTCTATTAGCTACTGGGCCGGGTCTTTCCAGACGACCTGAAGTATGCGAAGGTAACACCAATTTACAAGGAGGGAAACAAAACTGAATGCGGAAACCGCCGACCTTTTTCCGTTATTCCTGCCACTGCAAAAATCTTGGAAAAAGTTATTTACGATCAGTTAAGTTAGCAAAAACGAAATTCTTTGTAAGCAACAATCAGGTTTCCAGCCAAACCATTCTGCAGAAACTGTACAAATCAATGTCTGTTAAAGTTGTACAAATCAATGTCTGTTAAACATGGACAAGGGCCTGATTAATGATCCGTCGTGTTGGGACATTCAAGTTGACAAATTGCTAACTAGAGCTAGTAGTCGAATGTACATTTTGAGGATGTGCGGATCTTATGGTTACTCAAAAAAACAGTTAAAAACTCTCTTCGACGCCCTTATTATGTCACTGTTTTCTTTTGGAATTGAAATATGGGGTTCCGCCCTTGAGAAGAAATATCGAGAACGGATTGAGTCAGTCATATTAGATATTGTACATTAATAAGGTCGCACGTCTGTTGTGGCTAGATTTTAAATGTAAAGACTTAATAATAATAATAATAATGATAATTAATGGGGTAATGTTTCGAAATGTTTCAAACCCTAATTATGCGCGAAAAAGTTGCACACTGCCAAAAATTTAACTAGTGAATTTTATTCTGTGAATATGGCATACAATAAGTTCAACTGTTGTAACTTATTACCAATTTAAAGAAATTGGTAATAACTTACAACAGTTGGACTTATTGTATGCCATATTCTATATCCTGTGGGATATTCATGTTTGGCTATTGGAAAGAAATTATCTTTATTGTAGTAAAATATTTTGCCCGCGAGGCGCAAATATATACCGCATTATTATATACCACGTGTCAAAGTTTGGTGTTCGTAGCGTTTCATTGGTCGAGAGTCAATCACATGAGAGTGACGAAATTTTGATGACGCCCGGGATACCCCCTGCTTAGTAAGATAACGTGTTATCCTTTAAGAAATAACAACTTTAATCACGTGGCGCGCACCTGGACGTGCCACCTTTGGACTGTTTATCCATTTGAAATTATTTTATGAATAGATATTTCGCTCGCAGTAGCTAAATAAGTGCTAATTGTTGTCGAGCAATATATTTTGCGTATACAAATGCTAATTAGGATGAAACATTATTGCTGCGGCAGCGAGCGAACATTAAGCGAGCGAGCAAAGCAGAAAGCTACTTTTGTATAGCTGTTCAAAACCTCATTACATATTTCAACAAACATGCATTGCGGCTCTACCACAATGCAATGCGCGCTCGTGTGACATACCACTGTTTCACCAAAAACGACTTGGTGAACCTCGTATTTCCTCTTCATACCGTTCTTTGGAAATTGGAATCTTGTGTGAATTAAATAAAGTATATATGTAAGTATTTAAGTTATTTCTTTGCTTGTTTTATCCAAACGTTGCCAGGCTTTTAGTCTTTTACAAATACCTGCGCGTTTGGAGTTTGAATTTTGATCTATTGTGATTTTGAAGTGTCGTATAACATTCGCATATGGCTTGTATAATAGCTTTGTCATTTCGATTTTTGTGACAGGTTTGAAGCATATCTTCTTCTTTTATCATTGGTGTAAACCTGTGTGGCGAAACTAAGGTATGTATAAGTATTTAAGTTACTTCTTTGCTTGTTTTGTCTAAAGGCTGCCTCAGGCTGTTAGTTTCACAAATACCTGCGCATTTGAAATTTGATTATTGATTTATTATAATTTGAAGTGTCGTATAAAACTTGACTGTCCTATAACATATGACTATAATTTGCGTAACCAGTATAAATTTTGCGCAAGTTCATATAATGAGATTTCCTCTGCTGCATTTTAAAAAGAAGCGGCCAAAAAGCATTTTGCGCAGGCTATTTCCATAGGAGTACAGGCAGCACTTACTGCCTTTAGGTAACATAGTATGGGAATACTAATGACGTGAGAAATGATATTATGTGCCATCCATATTTTCTATCGCAACTCGCATGACGTTATATATGTCAGTCTGCAATCATTGACAGCAACAGCTGTGTTATATCAATAAAAACGGACGCATACCAGTAGACGAATGATTACGTTTTTAGTGACGCGTGTTGTTTGAATACATGCTGCATGTATGTACAGTAGAATCGTTGGATGCATACTTGTTGATTAATTTGACGTGTGCTTGTTTTTATTACGTCGGAGCTTTTGATCGCTTAACCCGAATCCTCACGCAATACACAAACACATATAATATATGTAATATGGTATAAAAAATATGATAAATGTTGTATAATTGTGATTTTTGAAACTTCACTTAATGCAAGTAAATTCTAAAGGCTCAAAGGGTATTAATTTCGAGTGAAAATGTGGAATTATGCACACTTTAAATTCAAGCCAGGAACAGTAAATGAAAACGAGTCAACTATCGGTCCTCCGGCAGGAATCGAACCTGAGCGTAGGTCTGCGCTGTAGATTTTGCAAGTTTTAATAACAGGAAATGTTGACATTGCGTGTTGGACTCATGACTATGAAATCAATATCTTCCCTTGACCCGCGGCGCTAAATTTTGAACTTCCGCAATGTCATGATCATCATTGACAGTCAATAGCTAGTCAATAGCTTCTAGTTACCGGTCTCGCTTTGTTTGTGCTGATGTTCAACAATACCTGGCGTCAAATCACAGCGGTCTCCAGATTTGCTAAATACTCCGGCGTCAGCGACGGAGTTGAAAACTCGCATAGGTTTAGTTTTGTTTTTGTATTTTTTTTATTATTTTTCGTCGTCGCAAGTATGTTTTGGCGCGAAATATACCAGTATTTGAAAAGTGTATGTGACCGTATTTGTCTACGTCAACTTTTTGTTCCCAAGAGCTGTGGTGCACAGCTCGAAATCTTTGGCTAATTTTCCGATCTAACCAGGGAGCAGCGTGGCAGCGTCTTCAAACAATTAACTTAGCATCAAATGTGGTATAACAACTGCCTAAAATAGACAAAACACTTCTCGAGGGCCTTCGTCAGGAGAGTTAGTATGATACAAAGGCCTTGACGAAGGCCTTCAGGTCGAAACGTCGAGAAGTGTTTTGTCAATTTTAAGCAGTTGTTATACCACATTTGATGCTAATTTTCCGATCGTCGATTTGTAAGACAAAGTTTCTCAATTTATTAAAATTGTAGTTACAGTGTACAAATTAATTGTGCATACATGGCGGTCCTTTTGTGTTTGAGACTGAAAAATGTTCTTACTGTCGGGCTCACACACTAGTCTGCATGAACTCGTGCATGTAAAACCCGATAATGCACTCTGCAGAGAGTCATTAATCCTTAATCATCAAAGGTTTATGTAAAAGCTACAGCAATTTAACCTATTTATGTTTTATATTTTATTTAGGGAGTGAAAATGTCAAAAATGGAGGTTATCTATGAGTTTATATATGTCAAATTTCCAAGTTCTGAGTCTGTTAAAGTGTATTGTTGGGCAACTGACAGAAAGCATACTGTAGGGCTCTAGGTATTACATTACACGATGACTAACAAATTATAGCATACTGTATATATTGTTATGTTTCGCACAGTGACCCAAGTGCAAATTTAAAAGGAACAAGTATGAATGCTGTGAAATACTGCAGCAATATATGAATACTGTGAAACTCAGTGCATGGCAGGACTAGTGTATTAAGAGTTAAAGGGAACTTAAAATTTAGGTCATTTTAAGTAGGTTAAGTACCAATTAGTTAAAGCTAAAGTTACCAAGCTACAAAATACATGTAAGACTGGTTTATGTATGGATCTCTTTTATAACAACCAGTTCAGCATAATTTCCAGCACCAGTTCAGCAAATAGTGACTGTTTTACATGGTAATTTTTGCATTTGGGGCAATAGCAGCTTTCAGCTTGTTTAAGCAAGAATTAACAATAACAATGACAATAACAGGAACCTTTAGTTAATTAGCGGTTAATATGATTCGGTAACAAGTTCCGATTTGAAGCATGCAAACTTTGCGTAAATCACCCTTTCACTCAGTTGGTTTTGAGCATTTGTAAGGCACTGTCGCACTTGAAATTCGTGTCCTAAAGTGTTTAAATAAGGCACTCGTTTAGAAGTATTTCGTAGTCGCACCAATAGTGGATATCGTGGTTTGCGCATAGCCTCGACTGAGTCGAGTCGACTCGACAAGCGGGACTGTTTTATGTAAGTTTATTTTTACAATTGTTTTTAATTTGTGTATAGCTTCTTTGTTAACGTGATAGTTTTAGCAGTTTACATGACTAGAGTTGAACGATCGTCTTCTTTTAGAACGCATTAAATCTTTAGTGTAAGTGTATGTATTTATAAGCCTTTTTTAAATCTTTAGTGTAGCTAAGTGTATGTATAAGCCGATAGGCTTCTTAAGTAAGTTGTTTGTTATATTTTTTTAGTAATGCAATAACATTTAAAATTAGATTTTTGGCACTTTCTCGCCCACAATTTGTCTCAGTAGTTACTCTACGTTTGAAAATAATGCACCAATTTTCTCGGCCTCAGAAACCTAGCATTTGTTTTGAAAATTTGCAATAAATTTTTGTGTTTGCCGTTAGAGGGTTGTCGTAAACGTCAAGCTAAAGGTCTCTATTGTATTTATATACAAATCGCTGGATGACCCGGCTTTACATCACGAACGGGAAGCTTCGGATCAGTTTTAATACAGCTTAAGTCAGGCCTTGTATAATAGTTGTATCTAAATATCTTCGCTTGTTAGGTCCTGATATTCGATCCTCTCCTCTAAAATACGCTTATAGGCTATGCTTTCGAAACGTCGTGACTTGGCCGAAATAATTGAATTGGCTCGAGTTCAATTTCGCTCTAGTGTTTGTATGCGTTCTGTCATTCTAAGCCTACATTCTGTAAATTCCCGGTCCCGAATATCAAACCAACTATAAAATGTGAATTTATCGTTCTTGTTTTCAATCATATCGTGCAATGCCATATGCGCGTGATTGAATTCATCCTTTAATGCATCAAGCATATCTCGATTTTTCGCAAACACGCGTAGGTCGCTATTCCCTTTGTTATATTTCTATAGTAATGAACGAGCTTAGGGGCTGTTTATATGAGCCCGGTTACCCGAGATTCAACTAAGCGTGAGATGATTCTGAGCTATTGAAATGAGCAGATAACATGATCCTGGCAGTCATATAATCACCACAACAATAACATGTGCTTGTTTGGTATCATAAAGACTTATTTCAATTCCTCAAAGTCCTCTCACGCTTCGTTGAATCTCGGGTAACCGGGCTCATGTAAACAGCCCCTTAGTTTTTTCATCAATAGTCAATTATATTTGTTATTTTGTTTACGACAACTATAATCGACGGCCTTTAATGATCCTCGAGTAAGCTTTGTTACTTGGTCAAGACTATGAAATTGTTGGCTGTAAAATATATCGCCGCATTTTGTTTCTTCGCTTCAAATTTCGCCGCGTCGTGGCGTAATTGAAAATTTTCAAATATGTGATGTTGACATATTATACAATAACGGCTGGTATAGGAATACCACACGGTTCTCGACATACCGAGCACCACTTACGCCTGTATTCTAAAAGCTCACTCACACTCAAACTCATTGAGGGGGAGATCTTAATCTTCTCATAATGTTTCAATGGCGGTATTTCAAGCCGAATAGGAGCTTGATTTTCAGTGATTTACCTTATATCTTTCCATCTATTCAGAGAAAACTTTCTCATTGATCAGCATTAAAAAAATTTATATGCCACACTCAATGAGTGTGAGTGTGAGTGAGCTTTTTGAATACAGGCGTTAGTCTTCGACATTAACAGTGGCGTAGCAAGAACGATAATTGGAGGGGGGCGGCCATATTCATAAATTCGTGGTATGCAGGATTAATTTCTTTTCAAATCAATTGGCTTTACAGTCTATTAACATGAATGTATGAATATGGGCCCCCCAATTATCGAGGCCGGCTACGCCACTGTCGACATATCGAACACCACTTGGTTTTCGACATATCGAAGACCACTTGCTTCTCGGCATATCGAACACAACTTGGTTCGTTTTAAAATGCGCGTTCACCTACTGACACATGTTTCCTACGCCATGTGCATAAAACTTTCAACGATCGTCATAAACAAGTTAGTATGCTTATACATAATACAGAAACACTAAGCACTCAAAAGCCGACTCACATGTGTGACGTCAAGTTCCAGTTTCCTTATTACCACGGACATGTACCATCGAAAACACCAATTTTGAGGCTTTCAAACGAGGTTGGCTTTCAAACGGCTTTGAAATTGGCAGGGGCGCCGGAATATGGATAATAACGGGGGCAGATATTCATATATTCGTGTTCTGCATTATTAACTTCTTTTGAAATCTATTGTTTTTACGATCTGCGAACACGAATATATGAATATCTGCCTCCGTTATTATCGGTATTCCGGCGCCCCTGGAAATTGGGACGTTTTCATGAGATCGAAAACGTACGTGCAAAATACGTTTTGAGAAAGGTTCTTTATCGAAATCCACTGGTGAAAAGCACAACCTTCACGCTTCAACAACGCAGGGGGAAAATTAATGTGCAGTATTAATTCGTGCCATGCATTAGATTTGTGCATGTTTGTGCACCCGTGGGCTTAGAAAATTGATCAGGCACTTATAATAACTAACAATATAGTTTTGATTTCTAAAGGTCTTCTTCTTTTATACACCCTGTATATAGAATACTACGAAAAAAAATGTAATATGTCATCCTTCATGGAATTTTACCACGTAGCTATAAAGCCACCACAAATGACTTTTTGTATGGTTACATAATGAGTTTTTTTTGAAGTGATATTATTATCGCAGCTCGCATGACGATTATTTGTTAGTTTGCATTGACAGCTACAGCTGTGTTATATTAATTAAAACGGATGCGTACCAAGCTGAAGAATTACGTTTTCAGCGACTCTTATTTTGTCTCATTGAATAAAAGCCATTTGATTCAATGCAATTGTATGCATGTTATAGGTCAGCTGAATATTCACTGTAGATACATGCAAAAATTGGCTTGTTTTCCATGGTGAGGATTTCCTGTTCCGGTATATTTGTATCAACAACTCAATTTTTCTGAACTAATTACACAAAAGTACAGATTTTAGCATGAAGTAACCTGCTATTTTTCTATTTTTCACTTTCTGGAAAATTGTAATCAAATTTTTTGGAACGTTTTTGTAGTGAAGTTAATAGATGAATTTATGGACGATGTGCTTATAACTGTGCACAATCATAATGTCCGTCCACCTAAAAATGTGCTTTTTACCAGGCCGTGCGTCGGTACTATGATTTCGCTGGCAGATTTATGACACTAAAGTATTTTAACAGAACATAGCCAAATCCATGTTATCCAAATTTTATGTCATGAACGTTGGATGTTTAATGGTCGTGGTTGATTTACGCGTGCAGGAAATTCGAACATAAGGACTGATAACAACCCTTTAGTTGGCTAATTAAGACAGAAATATTGTATTTTAATAGGATCTTTAGTTTCTATTTTCACCAACAACAAAAGTCGGATATTAGCGTGGATAAGCTAACTTTATTACTGCTTTCACTGCAAAAATATACCAGAAGTTGTTTTAATATGGTGAAGACCTCAGAAGAAAAATTGCCTAATCACGGGTCTATACGACCCTCTAAAAATCACTTATTATGCTGTTTAGGCTCCGTCAAAATTTGGAAAATCACGCTCTATTGTAATGATCCCCCATGTATTTCTGCTAAACATAAAGAATTGATTTGGTTAAAACAACATGGTCTTTTCTCTGGGAACCCAACCACATTCAAGTTTAATCGAATTAATGTTAACAGCGAAAGGAAATCTTGTCCCCTAGGTTGATTTATTCCTGTTAAGTTGAACATTTAAAGCATTTAAACCCTAAACAATGGTGGCAGGGGCTGAAATGCTTTTTTGCCATGACTCATTTTTGCCATGACATGCATGTCTACTTCTACAGATTTAGTGTCTTGTCTACAAATGAATAATTCAGCGAATTTGAATCACAATCTGATTAATTTAACACCACATGCAGGAATCTGATTAACAATACTTTCCACGAGCCTTAAAGCAAACGTTTAAGAGCTACCTTGCCGTTTGATGATTTATCGTCAGTTGCATCGACCACACCGAAATTAATTAAATCGTAAACTTACATCTCTGATTCGTTCAAAAGCACGTTATTCCTAATTGGATCTTGAGGGAATTATCGTATCTAATATCTACCATAATCCTTTATGGAACAAAATATATAATAATTCTTATATAAAACAAAAAATGCCAACCTATACCGATGTATACTTATACCCAGGGCCGTAGCTAGAAGCTTAATTGGGGGGTGTATATTCATATATTCGTCTTATGCCCCACTGATTTCTTTTGTACGCTATTGTTTCTACGGTATATATAAACATGAATATATGAATATACACCCCCAATTAAGCGGTCTAGCTACGGCCCTGCCTATACCCAGGAGAAATGAAATTGGGTGCGGGTACTCATTTTAATTAACCGTCCGTGCCAGAAAATTGATTGTACTGTATATGGAGCTTTTAATCACATCTTTCTTAAATATATTACATGCATGCAGACATTATGCGTACGATTGGTTTTGCTATGATACTTCTCCCTATTGACTTAAGTCAATCATAGTAATTGAATAATACTGAAATTAATCATATCTGTTCTTGGATTTCAAAAATGTGATGGGATGATGCCATAAATTAACAATTTTAGGGTTTACTAGCCGTGCCACAAGGATCGAATAACACAATGGGAACATGCAACTCTCTCGAGTCATGTTTAAACTTACCTTGTTGTACCTCTCCAATATTTTTGTAAACCATGCAGCAGTATTACGGGTGTGCTGGTACTTGATGGTTATTATGGTTTACTGTTTATTAACGTGGCTATACCGACGAGCTATACTATACATTCTACTATATTTTCAATAACAGATTTTTCCATAAGAAGGAAATTATGGGGCATCTGTCTTATTCCACAGGCGCTTTTTCTTGGAAAAATCCAAAATATTTAGCCTGTACGTTTTTTTATTGAGGCAACGTGAATAAACTAAACCTGCTTCATTGTTTTGAGTTCAAAAGGAGCAGGCGAATTATTTCGCATTTCGTTTAAAAATTTCGCTGCCGGAATAAGGGCTTCAAAAACGTTTGTATAAAGACACTGACTTTCTGTACGGGATTTTCTAATGTGTGATTATATAAAATAATACTACATGATCGCCACCAAGTAACAAACGACAATAATATCCCGCTACAATACTTTTTGTTTCGAAAAATGTCTTGACGATTTTCAAAGTCAACAATAGAATTTTTGCAATATTTGTAGGTAACGTACTGCAATCTCAGAGTGAAAATGACAAGGGGATATATTTACTGTTTGTTTCTAACGCTGGTCATAATATCATGCGAAGGTTCTAAATTGAACAAATGCATCGAACACCAAGTATGCCCAGTTAACAACAACGCTGTTCTTGGTTCTGAAATTAATTTTGAACATGTCGAAGAAAACTCGGCCTCTTATGACCTAACCTTGAATACAATTAGACGTTCGCTCGTCGCGAATGGTGTGGTCGTGATTCGAAATCAGACGATGAACAGAGCTCGGCAGTGTGATTTTACAAGGAGTTTAGGTTCTGTGGTTGTTCTTCCGGAATCATTTGAAGGCAAAGACCCGGAACCAGGGCTTCCAGCTATTCAGAGGGTCACCAACTATTTCCACAATAGGACATGGAAAGGCAAACGCCATTGCTTTGGATGTTATTGGCACAAGGACGGGGATTTTCAATTCGATGATTACATTGGTGGCGTCCTCTATGCTGAGAAAGTAGAAAAATCAGCATCAACAACAATGTTTCTGGATAATTGCGCTGCCTACGATCTCATTCCCCAAGACCTAAGAACACGGATCCAGGACACAATATTTTCGGTGTCGGTACGAGACATCCCAGACTTTAAGAATGGCACAGAAAAAGATTTTGCCCTTTTTCCAGACGCAGCTCGACATCCCATATTTTACAATCATCCAGGCTCCGGACGTCGTTGTTTGTATCTGACCAACACAATGGTGACGCTGCGACCCAAGAGTGTAAACGAGATGATAGATCTTCAAAAGGCATGGGATATCATGGTTACTCAAGCACCCAAGTATCAACACTACTGGACAGCAGGAGATGTCGTCATTTGGGATAATTTGGCAGTTATGCACAAAGCTGGGGAGAAACGGTCTGGGTATTCTCCAAAAGATCCACGAATGCTTTTTAGAACGCAATATCGAATAGGTGAAACTGCTGGGAAGAAATAACTTCAAAACGTAATTTCCCATCAAAATTGTTTTACATGGAGGGAACAAGAAAGAACTTCGTTTTTTAACTAATCGGTATATTTTTTTCCTTTTTTAGCCAAAGGCAATCAGAATGCATAAATTTAGACAATGTACTTTTCATATACACGAACCTCGCGTACATGCACGCACGTAAAAGCCTAAAGCCTTATACATATTTTCATATTTAAAAATGCTAGTCGAATGGATCGAAAGAACTTAATTTTCCGTATATTCTAGTATGCATTTGTTGACCCACTTGTGAAATAATAACAATTTGGAAGCATTTAAAGATAAGAAACGCGACATGCAGTGGAAAGCAGTCCTAACAAAAAGATTGGTGCACGCCCGGCGCGCCAGAATTTACGCCAGAATAGGCGTCTCGTTTTAATAACATATAAACTATGACCTTCTTGTTGTTATTCATTCGAGACCTGGGCTTTAATGCAATTATTGTTTGTTTTAAGACTGGGCCTTTATATATACAGTGCTTTAAATAAAAAAAAACATATACTCCCGCATGTTTTAAAAAAGCTTGATTAACTCTCATACTTGTTTAGTGCGACACAAAATTCATTATCAGTGTGAAAAGCCTTCATTTCTTGACAAATCTTATGGAATTGAAAGATTCAAAACTAGCTAAAAATCAATAAATATCACTCCGGCGTAAGCGACGAAATTGTTGTTGTTTTTATTGTATTTCGTCGTCGCAAGTGTGTGCTTTTTCAGAAAAAATATATTAGAATTTAAATAGCCATTGACCTGACGTTTGCGTACAAAATCGTCAGAGCCAAACAAAAAAACTCAAACGTTATTTTAATATGCATGTGATTGCAATCGGTAGTTAAAGTTTTCATACTGCATGTGTAGTGATATTTGTCATATCAAAATCAGCAAAATTACACTTTGAAAAACACTTTTTGAAATTAAAGCGAAGGTGTAATACCATTTCACAGTTGGTTATGCCTTTGCTAAACGGCATACAAATATGAAAATTATTCGAATAAACTGCATCCTTACCGCGAAGCAAACACGAAATAAACAAAGTAAACACGTACCCTTTTAAAACACTTATATTATCTTGCAGATTATGAATTATTTTTCTTACATCGCTTTGTCTTAAGCTGTACCCATGCTCTTCTTAGTTATCTGTCACTCTTTATCTTGTTTCTTCTCGTTTTTTTTTTGGCAAAGTTTATGAAACAGCGGAAAAGCTTTTACAAAGAGTTTACGAGATGACAGTTAAATTCCTGCCGTTCTCATTGAGAAACAAACTTTCTGTCTAAGCCATTCAGAACGTTATTGATTAACAGTCGTTACTCGCGCATGCGCATAACTGACAAAACGGTCGTACCCGTCCACCGTCCACCGTCGATGATAGGGCAACTTTGGAATCTGTAATGTACTCCCGGGTTCCGGGTGTAATTCCTAATCCCCGGGCGGAATTAGTACCCTCGCACTGTGCTCCGGCTGCGCACCAGCTCGGCGATAAAAATAAAGAAGTAACTCATTAACACACAACCAAAACAAATATACACCCAGAACAAATAAGTAGATTAGAAATAGAATAAAATAAATAAATAAAATACAAATAAATGAAAATTAAAAACGGAATTCAAATAAAATAAATAAGTCTTTTGAAACAGTAAATCCAATAAGCAGCCTCAGCAGAAAGACTGTTCCACAGTACAAACTCCAACGTTACCTAAAGTTTCTTTCTAGAAATTCTTTCACTAGTTATGAAAACAATCAATTTCAATAATAATTTTTCCCATAATAATTTCAGAGTAGTTAAAAATTTTGAGCAATCTTGGCCCTAAAATTTTGGAATCGAAATTCAGCGTTTATCGTTTTGAGTTTGAATTATTTGAATTTTGAGTTATTTCATGATAAAAGTTTAGGTCAGGCTCTCCCACGAAATTGTGTGGTTGGTGCATGCATATATTTCTATATTTAAACACGAATTCATACAATATGTCCCATTTGTAACCCTGGTCATTTTATGCGAATCGTCCACGCTCTGCAGTGCGTGGTAATGGCTCGCCCATCTTCCTCCTACGCAGATGCTTGGGTTTACTATTACATGACGTATCCCAACAATTATCAGCGCACGGGGTACGATGGGAGGGGGGTAATTTCCCAAGCCTCTGCCAACTAACGCAAACAAAATGGCGGATGATTTTGCGTAGAGTACAATACAGTAAAAAAACAATACAGTGAGACTCGCTTAAATCATGGACATCAAGCGATCTCGAATCTAATAAATCAATTCTCCTGTGCCTTTATATAAAATAATTGCTAAAGATGAACATTCTGATAAGAGTCATTCGCTTCAAATCTTATATTTAAATGACTTTACTGACCTGGATACTAAGACCTTGAAAGTTCTCCCGAATTTCCTCCAAAATATCACTAACATTCATTGACATTTTGAAATCAGTTCATTCGTATCTTATGTTGGAGTCGAAGTTTGGTCAATTTTGACATTTTTTGCCACCCCTTTAAACAGTTTGTAGCGAACTCCCCGTAGCGTCTAACAGAGTTTTGCTCGTATCTTCTGATTTGATTTATCTATCACATTTCTTTGCGATTTCGTATGTCACGGAACAATTACTACATGGTTATGTGGTGAGGATGCTCAGTAAAACATTAAATTTGTTTTTTCATTCTCCATGGAAGACGAGAGTTTGAAAAAGTTTAATAAATGATCAGTTAGCATAAATAGCAAGCATACGAATGATTTCTTCATTTTCAACCGATCGAACTGTGATAGAGTGAGGTTTTTTTAATTTCAATCCAGCCGGATAAGTACGTGTTTTATAGTTCATTGCATTTAATTGAAAAGAGGTTTAGTTTAACTGTCATTATACCCGATTTTACTGGCGAGATGAAAACGTTTAATGGCGGCGAAAGAGTGTTAAGTGTGTGTGTGGGGGGGGGGGGAGGTCAATATTCATATTTTCATGTGGGCATGCAGACTGTAAAAACAAGCCATTGCAAAAGGAACTGATTCCGTCTTGGAAATCAACTTACTAACTTCTAAATCCTGGCAGGTTTCCAGTTTTCTCACTAAAACATATAGCAATATAAGTCGGCCCGGTCATTTTTTTATTCTTGTCAAGTCAAATTACATTTTCAGTCACCTTCTTTTGGGCGGAAGTCGTTGTTTAATCGACTGCCGCAATCCCGGAGTTCCGGATTTCCGTCCTGCAAACCAACTTACTACTAAATCCTGGCAGATTTCCAGTTTTCTCACTAAAGCATAAAGCAATATAAGACGGCGCTGACGGCTCATATAGAAGCCCCGGTTTTAGATTACAATAAGCGGAAACAAATTTTTCTGCAAAGCACTAGGCAGTGCTGCATGCCACCCAAACACAGAAACGACAATGACAAATGCATGAACAGGGAAGTTTATACTCATTCATTTTACAAAAGATTATCAATGACATCTTCGAGACATCTATACTTGTGGGATTTTTGTGTCTTTCGCTTACTAACGTGAAAATCAGTCATAATATATGCGCCCACACGATTAGCGGTATAGCTATATAGCTACGTCTCTAAGCTACAAGCTACATACAATAGTAACTGACCTAAAGAAAGAAAATGAATCAATTAATGATATATATTTCGAAATTTTCCAAGACGGCATTCTGCAATCCCCCGAGGTCCGAATTTCCACCCTGCGATGCTTAATACCCGACAACCTGGCAAGTTGCCAGTGCACAGTTTTTCCACTAAAGCATCTACATATTGTAATAGCAGACGGCCCACATGCATGGAAACTGTGGTTTTAAATTTCAGAGAGTGCGCTGAAATATTTCTGCAACGCATATATTAGTGCGGCAACCTATGTGTATGCACGACGGAGCCAATGCATGCACTCAGAATGCAGCCAAACCGAATGCAATTAGGTTTTTTTCATGCAGACACGCGATATTAAATAACATGCATAACAGCATGATCCAGGTGATTGCTTGGCGAGAAATAATTGTTAACCAGCGTAATGAAATATGCCTATTATTATAATACAGCAGGTTATAAACCACCCACAGTGCTAATGCTAAATCATTTAAGCTTTTTATGAACTTAACCTAATTAATCCAAATCATCTCCCAAATAGAAGAGATAAATGTTTTTTTTGCTTAATAGTTTACATATGTTTACATGTATACATGCACACGAAATTGATGTAGAACGCAGGCAATTTCTAAATAAATATACACGCAAAATCGATTGCAATTAAAATTGATGAATATTTTCTTGTTGCTCTAGCAGAACATCATACGCCCAACGAATTAACTTACTTTGCTTGTTTTTCGCCCCCCAAGGCAACTTACTACTCAATCTTGGCAGTTTCCCAGTTTTTTCACCTGGATATAATAAAAAGCAGACGGCTGAACAGAAACCGCGGTTTTAAATTACAGAGAATGCGCACAATTTTTTATGCAAAGCAGCGACAGAACGAAAATCACAAATGCCTGCACAGGAATGTTTATACTGACCTATATTACAAAAGATCGATCTCTAGCATCTTCTACATGTGCAATTCAGGGACCGCGCGGAGCGTTTTTCGTATTGCTGGGATTCTTAGCCGCACGCCTGCTAGGAGAGTCCGGGAAAATTTTGAAATATATGGTCGAGTATACAGGAAAACGGCATACTCGACCATAGTCGAATATTGCCGAAAATATAACCTTATAATACAACAGGTCGTGAACCGCCCACAGTGCTAATGCTAAATTATTTGAGCTTTTTATGAACTTAACATAATTTTATAATCCAAAGCATATGCATCTCCCAAATAGAAGAGATAAATGTTATTTACAAACAAATTCTGCAGATTTATCGTTTTGTGTTTAGGGTTTATTTCTTTATAGGCATATTTTTACATATACGCGCTCACGAAATTGATTTGGAATGCGGGCAATTTGTAAACAAAGACACCTAAACTCGATTTGCAGGCTTTTCAACCTCCA